TGAGTGAAAGCATAAATTCAGGGGGTTAATTAAGCTGGTGCGATAAAATACTTCCAAAAAAGTTTAATCAAAGTAAGTAAAATTTGTGTCAGTTCCTAATTACAATTTTATTAATTAATCGAACACAAAAAAATAGCATTTCTAAACATAATGAAATATGTAGGTACCTGCATAGTTTGCATTAACAATAAAAGTTTTAATTTTTTTATTAAAAGAATAAACAGCATGTGTACTTGTTACATATTGGCACCATATTGTTTGTTCACCTTTTTTCACAGAACTGATTTAATTTGTCATTTTAACCACTGCACAGCATGCACAATTTAATTACACAATGAAAAGTTTTCATTCATGCAGTGCATGTACGTAATTAATAAATAACAATAAGGCCCACTGCGTCCAGTAGAGGTGTGAAAAGGTTCCTTTATTTTAAATATTTAAGAGTTCCGAGTGTTTTGGGCACTTGAAATGTCTGCGTGACCAAGGGCTATGAGTATACATTATTTCAAAAATAATCAGATTAAACCTAAACAAATTTACTTTCTCTTTGCCTTATAAATTGGGGTCATGATGATTTTATAAGTATAAGAAAGTTCAATTTTTTAACTACACTTGGAAAAATTTGGGAAAAAGGAAAATAATAATACATAATATTTAACAAATTTTCTAACTTCATCAAAATAAATGTTTTATTAATCACCACTAAGATGAAGAGACTAAAAATATATTTAAATCCGATCAGCCCTGTAAAACTTAAACTTATTGGTTGATAATATGACCAACAGATAACCTCTTTTACTCAGATATACCATTTTTTATAATCTTTAATATTGTGATATTCTTAAAAAAGCTCTGTTTTATTTCAAGTGCATCGACTTAACAAAACCGGACGAACGGCAAACACATTTATCAGCCGTCAGCCTCGGGAACTTTATTCAATTTAAGCCCGCGCCGCGTATAATCAGTTGGCCCTCATCAGCAGGTTCCGCGAAACGCTCCTAACTCCACCGTATAATTTGCATAACTTGGTGCAGCGGCACTGGGGACTTTCGGGGGAAACGGGAAAAGGACATACTAGTACCAAGAAAACGGGTCTCCTGGAAGGGCAAATGAATGGGTGCACTCACTTGGCCTCGTTGATGCTCTCGAGATTGTCCCGGTTGTCGATGATGCTCGACAGGAGGCTGACCACCTCGGTTCTGTTGAGACTGCCCAGGAGCGTGGTGTTGACAATGCTGTTCAGCTCGAATCGCCGGACGGCGAGGATGGTGCAGTTGACCAGCAGCTCGGTGTCCACAATTTCCGACATTCTGCTGCCTTTAATCGGGATGAGGGAGCGTTGCGTAATGATCCCGCCGCACTTGTGCCACATTTAATAGCGCAGCGCCATAGAAACCATTGAGGTCGTCGGATTTAAAAGAAGCTGCCGCCTGCCGACTCTTAATGGCCCGGCTTTCACTTGATCCTCTCCGTTGGGTCCCAGGTCCTTTCAGGGGATATTTCTTTTTAAGTTCCTTCAAACTGCCAGCCACATGCAATACTCTTTTTAATTTTCGGGGGGCGGTCAAGGACAAGTTGCACTTAACACTGCATGTGGCCAGTTGGCGCCTTTTGGTCGCAAAACATTAAAATAACTTTGTATTCTGGTGTATATTATGTGATCCTTTGGAGGAAATGGGTTTTAGGCCATTGCCATAATAATTCACTAAATAAATTGTATTTAAAAATATTTTGCTAATTATTTAAAATCAAAACAGTTTCACTTTATTTATTCACATAATTGATTCAATTACCATGCACATTTTATCCACACGATTACGGACTAGTAAAACCCTAATCAAGTTGACACTTTTAATTGCAGCTTTATTCACTAGTTGCGTGTTTTTTTCAGAAACCAATTAAATTCATATTGCATTAAAAAATCAATTGATATTTAAAATGTCGCCGGACGTGGATTTAAATAAAATTTTTTAAATTACATTTCCGCATTCTTTTTCTGCTCTTAGCTTTTGTTTACAGTAGGGACTTTTTCCACATTTTGTGGCCACTTTTTTTGGGCGACTATTGGTTATTGTGCTTTTGACAGGCTTAAAGCAAACACAACACCCACACAAAGACAACAAGCGAGCACACACACAACAAAAGAGCCGTTAGTTGAAAGGACCTCTTTTTGAAAATGGCGCCCGATTTTTCCGCGCGGTCTTTAGCGCTGCAAGTGCCGCCGCCGACTGAACGTTTTGCATGAAAATGGAAGGAAATGCTAGGTCTGCAGGCTCCTTCTGCCGACGCCGACGTCGACGGCGCTGCCGGCGCCAGGAGCAAGTCAACACCCACACCAACGCACGCACGCAGGACACTCGCCTAAAAGCTGGCAACAAACCTGTTACTCTGAAGGCAACATGTTGCAGCAACCTTTTTTATAGCAAGTCTTAAATAAATTCAAACGGAAGATCTTGAATAAAAGTTGGATTGGGTATCGGTAAGATAAATTTGGTTTACAAAAATATATACCTGTTTTTAAACATTTTTTTGTATTTATTTTTAATTTTAAAAATGAAATTATTAGTCAAATGTTTGGCCTAAAATCTTTAATTGCAATTGTAATGTTTTAAATTACTACGGCAATGTCATTCAAAAATCTTATACCGCATGTTAAGCCTAAAACATTTACAGTTTAAAATCAGCTTTTAGTTTAACATCCCTATGAGAAAACTTTCCCAAAAAAGTTAAATTAATCTTCCATTGTTGCTGTACTTTAAAATAACACTATAAAAAAAACACTTTAATTGATAAAGTTTAAAACACAACGGCATTATTCAGTGACAAATAATTAAGAGACCAAAATTGATTAATTGAGTAAATCGTTTAAAAACCACATCATTATGAAAAACGTTTTTCCATTATAAATTTTAAGCCATTTAAACAGAGGAGTAGTTGCAATCGATTTAAAAATATATTTCATTCTGCATTTATATAATCTATTAAAATTTACCACAAAAAAAATTTCTATAGAAATGCTTATTTATGTGTATTTTAAAAGCAGTTAAAACGGGAAATTCCACGAAATTTAATTAACTTATTTAAATGGAAATGTTCACTCAGAAGCTTTTTAATAGCAATGAAATCACGATTCCTAAGAATCGCTTTACCACAATCAAATTAAATGCAGTAAAATGGTGTAAAATCATTCATAAAAGCAAAGGAAAATCCTACAAAAAGAATTAATAGTAATATTTGATTCCGATATCCTTAGCTTAAAATGTCTTGATAGCTGGCTATTAATAAAGCACAAAAAGTTCACCCCAGTGCTATTTTAGTTGTGCAAACTTTAGTGAACTTCTTCCAAATCCCCCTGTAACAACTTCTTGCTTAGTTCACCTGAATATACTATATATTGCGGTGTATGTTTCGTTTTCACTTCTACTTTCGACATCGTGGTGCTATGATGAATGACCTGTAAATGATGGCAGAGGACACGGTTTACACCCCGCCCACACACACCCAGATTGTGGACCCACCCACACACTCACAGGAACAAAGGCCATTTCAAGGACCGTTCAAATGACCTATTGTGATTGTGTGTGTGTGTTTGTTTGTCGTATTTTGTGTTTGCTAATGTCTGGAAATGTTTATGTCTGCCGCTCTATCTGCTCCCTGTTGGCCCCATGTGATTATGACTGCCCATTCAGGCGGATCCTGCCATCCTCCCCCCACACAGATACATATTTACCCACACAAACATGGCACTATGTACCTCATTTCTGCCCAGGGCACGCACACACTTACACGCATATGCATTTCCATGTTTGGCTTTTTTACGATCTTGTTTCGTTTAGTTTATAGCTTACATTTTGGCCCCGCCCCCAAGAGCTCATCTACCCATTAGGCCGCCCCAAGCATATTTCCGCACATCTATTTCGGGGGTTTCCCTGTTTATATTCACGGCGATTTATGCATGTTTATTATGATAAATTTATGCGCATTTGCTGTTCCGGGGTTTTTATAGAGTGCGTGCTAGTTATAGAGCTAGTGGGTTTCTCTTTCGCCAGAATATTGAGCTCTAAAATAACAGAGATGGAATTTCAGAAAATACATTTATGCATTAGACAGGCTTTTAGTCAAATTTCGTATCTATCAGATAGTGAACTGATCGAGATTTAGACACCCAGTACTTAATAAGTAGAAATTAGTTGCCAAAAATACTCTGCAAATTTTTGTAGCATACTTTTAAGGGTTCATTTTGAATACTATTCAATGGTTCTGTATATATCAACTTTTGGTTGTATGTAAAATACCCTTTAACCTACAAGAGCTGACTCACTGCACTAGATTTATCCAATAAAGTCCCGAGTGGGTTGCTCTGGCACCACCAATAAATTGAACCGAAATAAGTGCATCCCAAACTAGGAACTATATGCAGACATATGTATGTATATCCGAAGTGGAAGCAAAACCACTAACAACCGACGAGGGAAACGCCCCAAGTCAACATGTGTCAATTACCGCTTGACTTTGTTTTGACAGTCTGGGAAATGGGTTAGTTCCCGGGTCGACGAGAAAAGTGCCGAGAAATAGGATATTCTCGTTGCCAGTTCGCCAGTTCTCTGGGCAAAATCAAGCATACGCCGTGTATGCATCACGGGGCGAAATTCCATTGATTCAGTCGCCAGTCGAAGGCAACAAACTTTAGTGCTGATTTATGGTTGCGGTGTGGTTAGAAAAATATATGCGAGTATGCGGGGAAAACTTTTAGCCAGACAAAAGACATCTGCTGGGAAAAATCACTTTGACAGTCAGCGAAGCGCGAATTGCGAGTCAGTTTCCCATGTGCAAATTAATTGGTAACCGCAAAAACATAATTACCAGCAGATACACATGTATGTTTTTTTTCCCCGCCCAATCAAAAAGCATAAAGAAATTAATCAAAACCGGTTGGCTCTCGTGTGTGCAAGTGATCAAAGTGTAATTAAGTTGAATTAACCGCACAGTCGAATGCATTGATTATTAATTGAGCCCAGAAGCCATCAATAGCGAGACGATTAAAACAACTGAGACAACCTATCAGGAAATAATATCTTAAGTGTTAGCTCAGCGATTGCTGATCGTCCACCTTCAGGAACACAGAAAACAGGAAGGCAACTGTGGAATATCAGCTGAATTACTTAGGTTTAGATCAGGATTTTAACTACTCACTGCACATCAGGGAACACAGCCAGAGAAATGGAGCCAGGCAGCTAAGTTGCATGAAAATAGGTAGAAGCAGGTTGCCACTCACAGAGCCGAGTCTTCCAAAAGTCATGATCAGCAGCAGCACCATTGTCCTGATGGTTAAAATTTACATAAATATTTATAGAGTGTTTATATAGAAAGCTAACGAACCTCATCAGGGTGGGGAATATCACCACTGACATCCCGATAATCGTGGTGGCACAAATGCCCATCAGGGTCAGGTAGATCGCAGAAAGGATCATCGTCATCAGCGAGGTCTTTACGAAGTAAAGGCTGCCCACCAGGAAAATGCAGATGAATAGGAACACCTCTGCCGGGATCTCATATAAATTAATATTTCAAAGGGGGATGCAAAACGCTTTTAAGATCTGGTATCAAATTGTGATGTCTTTTATGATAACTTCTTTAAAATCGATATTGAAATAAATTAACTTAATGTGTCTAAAAGTATGCAACACGCTTTTAAGATCTGGTATCAAATTGTGATGTCTTTTATGATAACTTCTTTAAAATCGATATTGAAATAAATTAACTTAATGTGTCTAAAAGTATGCAACAATACATTTTAATTAGTAAGTTCGTTTATACAGCATACTTTTAGATACCTTTATAAGTAATTTTAAAGCCCTAATGGTTTTAGTGGCATCCATTATACAATAAATCGTTTTGCAGTGAATTTCTTTGGTTGGTTTGTTTTCTGTTTTGCATCCCTTAAATAAAATGTACTCACTCAGTATGTGATTCGAGACCAATCGGATGCGCATCAGCGGAAATATGATCAGAAAGCCGACCAGGCCAATGCCCGCTACTGTGATATTATCCAAGTAGCTCCTCGGGTCGTGGTGCTGTACGTTGGAGTTTATTACTTTAGACCCCGAAACCAATGACAAGCGATCGCCTACCCACTAGAGCGCACTCCACCCTCTTGTCGTCCTCGTTCATGGACACCGCCATCGCATTGTGCTCCAAGACGGCGCACATGCTGGTGTCATTTGCCCCCAGGGACTCCATTGCATTCATCGTGGCGAAGATCTGAGGCAACCATAAACGCACCGAGTTCACACTAAAAAATAAAATCAATTGTTTACATAAAAGTAATAAAAACATTTCTAAAAACCAAATACTGTTAACCGTAGGGAAACAGAAATAACTTGGGATTTCAAATCATTCATAAAGGTCTCAAAAAGTCATGCCACAGTGAATTTTAAATCCGAAATGACTGAGCTGCATACTTTCCGACACCTTTACAAATGGTAGCAAAATCCTATGATTTCTGAATCACCATATATTTTCTTTTCTTAGCTATTAAGTTGCAATAAAAAGTTATTACATAAAGAAATTAAAATACTAAGATTCTAATTTATATTTTTATAATTTTTTAAATATTATATGTTATATATTATAATCATAGAAAATTGATAAGAATTAAAGTTTATAAGTACTGGTCTATTATAAATAACCTTTACTCACCACATTATCTGGCAGAAGTGCAGGCAGTATACCTGTAGTGAAATGGCCAAATAGGGTTTGGAAAACATTGGCTTCAGCTGAAGGACCCCTTCCATGAATTTTTTTTTAACCCGACTAAATCTTTCCTTGATGGTTGATGACCTGCCAGTTCCATCAAGATCTGCAGAGCGATCAGGCGTTGAATCGATTAGGCGTTTTACCTGGTAAAAATAAAAGATTAACAATGTGAGCTTTATTTATATTTTGTTTTCTAAGAAGGACACCCACCGGATAGCTCTCCTTACTCTTGCGCTTGTTTAGCTTGTAGATGCGCTGAAAGGAATCGAGGGCCTTCTTATAATTACCCTGGGACATGAGGAACTTGGGACTCTCGGGCAGAAAAATGTGCAGGAAGCCGCTGAGCAGACTGGGCACCGCGGAGACCGCCAAGAAGACCTGCCAGGTGCGAACTGCAGGCGGAAAATGGAGTTCAACATTGAGGTCACATCGTGCAGGATTCTCACCTACACTCCAAAGTGGCCACCTTGAAAAAGATGGGCACGGGCATCAACGCGTAGGCCAGCAGGGGTAGAATCATCGATCCGATGGAGACGCATAGACCCACGAACAACATGATATAGGGCCGGTGTTTCTTGCCATGGAACTCGGCCAGGTAGCTGACCACCACCGCAAATGGACCGCATATACTAGCGTACAGGCTCATTAGTATGATTATCGATTTGACACTCCGAAAAACATAATTGGACTTATGGATTTCAAAGTTCTTTGTCAAAGAAATAAATCGTACTATGTTTAAGATATTACAAAATATTAAAGATGTTTAACATATGGGCTATACTATCTCTTTTCAAAGAGTTTGGTTATAAGAAAGTATTAAAGTTGCAAGCAGTTCTACATATAGAGTATCTTTGTTTCTTTTTTATAAATCAACTTACATAAAGCCGTCAAAGAACTTAAAGGCCATTAGCTGAGCGGTATCTTGGCTGAAGGAGGCGCACAGGACGAAGAAGCCGTCGAGCCAGCCGCCGGAAATGAGGACGGGTCTGCGACCGATGGTGTCCGCTATGAATCCCCAGGGCACCGCCGAGATGATCATTCCCGCATAGGTCACCGCATGCAGCATGCCCTTGTCCACGATGCTGAGGTCAAGGTCACACTCGGCGGAGGGCATCACGTAGGACAAGGCCGAGGCCGAGAAGACCATCGCCGTGAGGCAGGGAACAGCACTACACAGGATGAACACGTTGAACAGCCCGAATCCGCATTCCGCGATCGCCGTCTCGAAATCAGCAGCCTCATCTGCATTATCCCTCACGCGATCCGCCATCACAAAAACTGATATTTAATGTCTGAGGTGGCAATGGAAATTTTGAAAGTTGCTTAAAAGACTCCAGGATGATTACAAAGTAGGGGCAAGGGAATGACATATATTTTTACCAAATTATATTTTAAGTTATATTATTATTTTGAAAATCCTTTACTTTTAAAATTATGCGTATTATTATCATGGTAATCATTATTATTTCATATATCTCATAAGTTTTATGTGACCTATTTATAGTATTATATAGTTGGTCAACATAACTTTGTCACATCTGAAATGAGCACAGTATTTGCTTCCAGTGAACAGCAACACAATAGATGCACTCCCAATTAGTAATTCCTGGTATTTCAACCTCATTTTCAAAATTATCAGGGTGCTCTCAAGTGATTCAAATTGATTGGTCTTTTGGTGAAAGTTCATGTTGTTCAGGAATCATTGAAGCGCTCAATCTAATAAATCGCATCCATTAAAGGCTGCCAGATAAGTCCATTCAGGCAGCACTAATTCCCACTTTACCCATCATCACCTGATGAAAATCAGCTTTATGTTATCTGTAGTCGATCACTCACCTGCCAACTCAACCACCCATCCACCCACAAAGCAAACCACCTGCTAACCCATCGAACCACCCACTCACCCACCTGGGTCGGTTACAGTTAATTGGTGTTAATGAGATTTGCATGTCTTTCGACGACTTTTGTCCTTGTTCACCAGACGTATCCTTTGGGATACACACCCTTTGCTGTGATTTGTCCAAACAATGTAGTTCGTGTAGCAATAAAGATATATTTAATTTGATTACTTAAGGTAAATATAAATAGTTGTTCAGCGTCTATCTCCAGATAATTCGTTATCTCTAATTTGTACAACTAAACAAAAGCTAAGCTAATGTCGCAAGATCTGGTTTAAATAAGTGGGTAACTGGTTTGGATGAAACCAAAGTCATTTAAAATTCATTCTTAGACTGGAAACCTTTAAGCAAGGGTTACGAAAGCGGAAGTCCGAGGTCCATCTAAGAAAACGCCGCCTTTGCAGGATTGGGCATAAAAATTGAAAGCACGCCCGCCACTGCAATTTAAATATGAATAAATTTAAGTAAAGTGTTTTGGTCGGTAATAACTCTAACTCACATATCAGCACTGAGGAGACCATTATAAAGGGAGGCAAGCAACCAATCTGAACAAACACCGGGAAGAGTAAGTTGCCAGACAGGGCTCCAAATCGTCCGCACATCATGGCAATGGCCACCACAACAGTTCTAGAGTTTATAAACATTGGATTAATCCTTTCTCTATCGGAAGATATTATAACTCACCTTAACTGAGTGGGAAAAAGGGCCACCACAGCTCCCAAAAGTGAAGAAACAGCGATTCCAGTAATTGTCAGGAAGGTTGCTGCCACAATAAGTGTCATGAGACTGCTCACAGAGAAGTAAAGCATGATGCCAAAGGTTCCCGACAAAAACAATCCATAAGCTGGATAAATAAAACAAGGTTATATCTTGGAAAATATTCAATTTTATGAGAAACTTACTCATCATTCGCTTGGGACCCAGGGCACGGACAATTCCTCCGGCAAAGAAGTAACCCACAAATCCAGTGGCCGATACAATAATGTTGTTCAGATACATGTCCATCGATATTACCTTGGGCTATAAGGAAAAAATGTTACCAGTATAAGTTACAAGCATATAAGAACTTTAATCATTATAACACTTATTAATTCATATAAAAAATTATTGGAACCAAGAGATATTAAAGACAAATTAGTCTGTACTAAACTATTAAAGCATTTGAAGCGTAATAAAGCGTAATCAAATTAAAGAACTCTCTGTTAGGGTATACAAAACCCACATTTATGACCGATTATGGTAATCTTTTATTTTGTGTGCAGAGATAACCACGTCACGATCACGGTGATGAGGCGTTCAGAGAGCTGCTAGATAAGCCCCACCCTCAGATCCAGACCTGATATAATCCTCAGATCCAGATCTCTTATCTATGTAGATCTCGTATTTTTAGGTTTTATCTAATACCTACCACGGAACAGGCTTCGGCGTAATTGAGGGCAGTCTCCGCCGTGCGATTCACGCTGAACTCAAGGATGGTGCACATGCTGGCATCCACACCATCGCCCTCATGGAGGTCCTCGAACTCCGCCATGGAGGCAAAGAGCTGCGGCAACCACAACCGGATGGTGTTCATGCCCAGGAAGATGCCGAACTGCATCACATAGCAGCAGATGGACAGTCCCAACAGGGGCTTCCTGACCAGCGGCTTCATCTGCTGCAGTCCAGCTCGAAGGCTCTCCGCCAGGGTACGCGATGGTCGCTTTGTGGGAACCTTTCCAGACTTCTCCTCGATGGTGTAGATAACCTCGTCATTAACGGCCTTTCGGTTGGGCGCCTCCTGAATAAGGGCCTTGATCTGCAAAAAATGTCTCATTTATTATCTAATAATTATAATCACATATATCTTAATAAATTCTAAAACAATTTAAAGGCTTTTTAAGAACAGTACACTTTAAATGATCTACTTACTGGATAGCTATCCTTGGGCTTGCGGCTGTTGACATGGTAGATCAGCTTAAGGGCATGCAGCGCTTCCTCGTTTCTTCCCTGGGCCATTAAAAATCGAGGACTCTCCGGCATGAAACAGAAAATCACTCCACTGACCAAACTTGGTATGCCCAGAACGAACAGGTAAATTTGCCAACTGTGAACTGAAATAAAATTATTTTACAAATTGAGCATGATTAAGAAAGGTTTTTAGCTTACTTTGCAAGCCCCAGAACTCAAAGTCCCAGTCTCGAGGGAAAATACCCCAGGCCAGAAGGGGCAGTGAAACCGTCGCAGTAGATGTGACCATACCAACGATCATCAGAACAGAAGATCGGTGTTTTGGACCATGCATTTCTGTCAGATAAGTAAACAGCACAGCAGCTGGTCCATTCACCCTATTAAATATAAGTAATTTAACATTAAAATAGTTAGTAATGAAAAAGAAAAGAGAAATACTTACACCAATCCTCCCAAGAACTTGAAAACCACCAGCATCGTGAAGTTCTGACTCAAAGCACTGCCGAAAACGCACACCGCATCTATGAGATAGCCCCAGTAGAGAATCTTCTTGCGACCCTTGGTATCCGCCAGATAGCCCCAGGCTATGGCCGATATGGTCATGCCCGCATAGGCCACCGCATTCAGTACTCCCTTGTCCTCCAGAGTCAGGCGAAGATCGCACTCGGCGACAGGCAGGATGTAGGACATGGAGCTGGACTCAAAGATGGCGGCACTCTGGGCGGGAATGGAGACGATGAGCAGCATTAGATTGAAGATCCCAAAACCAGAGCTTGTGATAGCCTTATCGAAAGTGGCAGGACCTTCCTCGGTGGGCGTGGCTGCTGCCTCCGCCGTACTATCTGAATTCCCATCCCCGTCGTTATCATTTTCCAGCCCTGTAAACGATAAGATAGTTACCTTTTTATAATCGCAGCTACATACATCAGTTTTTATGGAAACTCTTTTGTAATCTTTTCTAACCTTAAACTTAAAAAACAAATTGCAATGATAATATAAAATTTTATTCTAAAACGTATACTTTCTCGGAACTACTGTGTTATCCGACATAAACCACTTATCAAAACTTTTCCACACATATTACGCCTTTATTTAAACCAAAACACAGATTACTCAGAATCACAACAATATAAAACTATGTAAATATGATAAAGAAAAAAAAATAAAGTTATTTTTAGTAAATTATATATACCACACGTTTTGCTATTATGAAATAATTTAATTTGATAATTATTTTGAAAGCCTTTATGACTTTTTTTACATTACATTAGCAAATTTCTCTATTGTTCACTTATCTCCGATATAAAAGTGTTTTTAATTTTTTTTTAGTCCGAAACCCACTTTTTAACAATTTTTCCACTTGTTCTTTACCTTTGGTTTTCTCAGAATCCACCTTTTCAACAGTCTTTTCCGACATCTCAGCGATTACGGTGTGTCACTATATCTTCTTACAATTGGCTTGCTCTTGAAATTAATTGCTCAGTTCAATTGATGCGCTACAGTTGTTGATTAAAAGCGCAAGCACAAATTCTTTGAATTTTTCAGTTCACAGTCACTGAGTTAAGGGTTTCCAGTATATTATAGTTCCACCGAGAATAGCCGACACTTGCAACGCTGCACGAGAAGTGATCTCCTAGAGTGGATAGCACCTGCTTTTATCGGAGTTTGCTTCAATAAAGGTGAAGATTCACTCAGCTACAGCTCTCTTATCGTGATCTTTACAATCTAAGGAAGCTAATAAAGTTATAAAACCATGTTTATCTAGCAAAAGCACATTGTCTTAGATACAGTACAGTACATAAAATAAAACAAAAATTTATTTATAAAAAAATCAACTAAATACAATTGTTGCCTTACATCTTTTAAAAACTTTATCTTACAAAAAAAATTTAACAATTGAACAAAACCTTCAACACAGCAATTTAAAATCCTTTAAGGAAAAAAGTATATATGGACAATTTTTTCGTGGATGATACGCTTAACCATCATCTTAAGATAATTTTAATGTTGATCCGACTGTGCGACCATAATAGTCACGATAATACCATGAGGTAGCAACCATAAAAAGTAAGAAAACGTGTGGTGTTCACGTTTCAAAAAGTAAGGTAAAAGTCTTCTTATTTTTATGGAAGAATTACTATTTGTTTTATGAGCGTACAATTAAATATTACTCCGAACTGACTACGTCATTTCAATGGTGAAATTTGTGGATGCTTAAACATCTCCCTTTTATCTCGGCCACACGACAGAGGGGTGATCTTATCTGTGTTAAAATTATCTTTAAGATGACTAAACACATTTGAGCCAAGTGAATGAATTACTCATAAGACGTGGAAGGTTCTCATCACACAAATTGGGTTTATTTCCTTACACTAAAAGCAGTTATAAATATGAGGAGCTCTTCTATCCAAAGCCGTTCACAATGATTGACACAAACTCAAGTGTCAATATCCAGTCTATGCCAACTCATTCAATGGCG